AAATTTTTTTTTTACTTCTTAGCACATTTTGCATTTTCTTTCCAAGAATTTACTGACATTTATGCGTGCTTATACTGAGATGATGACAGTTATTCTCTCATCAACGGTGCTGAACGGGCCAACTGCAAAAAATGGATTCTGCGTCAATACGATGTGTAGTTATGTTTATATGGAGGACGTCAGGTTACACTGTCAGGAAATTAAGCCCAGAAGAACTCATTAAAAAGCAGATGTCCTTGTTTAGATATCCCTTTATGCCTCATTTCTTCAAATATCTCTTTCCACATTAAGATGCTGGGTGATAAGACGTCTCCTACTGGGCATGTGCAGAGGAAAGCCTCAAAAACTAGTGAGAAACAAACAGAAAAAAAAACTGCACAAAGAAAAAACAATATGCTTTTTCCAGTTGTGCAGTGGCTGTTTGTCATTTAAATTGATTTTTACTTGTTCCCATTAACAGTATTCATATTTTTTTATTTGACTCATCAGGACTAGAAGCTACAGGAGTCACTGGAATTTTTTGGGGGGGATTTTTGACCTGTTTGGATTATTTCCTCTCTTCTGGGCACCTTGGACATGGATGATATTGTACCATATTCCCTTACTGTGTTTCTAATGCACTGATTATTCCCAGGAGATCGCAACAACTTCAGTGACACAGACAAAGGGACTGTCTGGCACTGAGTCATGGTTTCATCACTGAAGAACCAGTTTGGAGAGAAGATCAAACTGGTAAAGCCATGCTTTTGATGAAGCTGTTTTTCCTCCTCCACCTTCAGCTGAGTTCAATAAACAATCTGACAGTTATTCAACACGCCTTCATTTTCATCACACATTACAAAACCAACCAAGTAGAGCAGGGCGATGTGACCAAAAATATTTATCACGATATACATTTGAAAATTTGCGATAACGACGTAACTGACGATATAATTGACACGAGACAAAATACTTTACAACTCCACAACTTTATTAGTGCAAAAAACCCATCAATGTATTTTCACTTAAACAAGCAAATTCCTCGCTGACAGTTTAACCAAAAGGCGTTTCCAGTGGAAACTGGCCGACATATCCTCAGCATAACCATGTATAATATCCACAAAACTTAAGAGCTTATACACACACAATACGGTATTATGTTGAAGCACAGTACGTATCACTCCGCGAGGCTCCTACCTACGATATAGCCGTAATGCTCCGACAATCCATCAAGCGGTGCGGCTTCGTAGCTTAGCAAAGTCGTACTAAAACATTTGACAGATTTTCGAGCACCGTGCACATAAAATCGTTTCGAGGTCAGTAAACACAACCAGAATTCATACATAAGGCACACGGGATTATAAGGGGCTCTGTCGATTTTCAGAAAAATCAAAGGATTGATTTTAAGTGAGCGGCATTTTCCAAAAAACACGGTAAGAACGACGGCCCGCTAGCATGCTCTACCAAAAATAGTGCTTTGTTGTGTATCTGACGGACGAAAGCCAAACCAGTCCCACACCACTGAAGTTGCAGCATTTTTACAAACCAGTTCTGTTTCGTCCGTTTCATTCAACGATCCGCTTTCGCTCTTCTCATTCTGCGTCGCCGCCATGTGCGTATGTAAACAAAGGCACTGTGCATGCGTGTTTTACCCATATTCTATCGCGATATTTCATTTTCCTATCGTTGCCCAAAACTACACCGGTATTACCGTGAATGGTATGATATAGCCCAGCCCTACAACCAGCAGTGTTCTGAGGCCAGATAAAGATCGATTTACAAATTCACCAGGTTTAACGAGGGCACGGTCTGACTGCAGGCATTTGCCTTTTTGCAGCCAGTCAGGGAGTGTCTAATATATGTGAGAATTAAGATTTGCAAAATCCTGCTGGTTGACTTTCAACTCTATGGCTCATTTATTTGGGTGGAGTAGTTTATGACAAACACTAGTCGGGTTACAAGAACAACAGATTTAAAAAAAAGAAGAAGAAACGACTACATATTACAGCCCTTATCTAAAATGTAAAGGCTGATCTTAGAGTTTGATTTGATGTGTAAGCCTTTTTCTCAAGTTGGAATGATAAATGCTGCCTATTGTACAACACAAAGCCACAGGAAATAATTCCATTCACTTTTTCCAGGAATTGAATAGATAATGGTTATATGGCATGCCTAGGCATTAGTCGTTTCAACAAACTTTCCTGAAAAATTTGAGCATTTCCAATCAATCTGAGTGACCGTGAGCCACAGAATAAGGGAGCCCGCTGGGCTGAGGGGAAGGATCGCGGGGCTTGTTGGTGGAGAATGGTGTTCTTGTTGAGCTCAGCTCTGTGACAGCAGCCCGGTCTGCCAAAGACAGCCTAATGAGAGACACATGGCATCCAGTATGGTCTGCTCTGCTAGTACGACACACAGCTATTGTTCTACACCGCACATTATAAAACTAACCAAGTGACCCACTGCAAGCAAACATACACAAGCTTTGTCATGTGATGGAGCCTTACAGTCTGACTGCAGCCGCTTTCCAGCGACGTGTCAGCAACATGTCTTACGGGTAGAGAAACGCTGAACCACAAAATGCTGCCAAAACTGAAATTTTTCTCTTTGTTTCATGCTGTAATTGTGTAGAGAGGTCTGACGACCACAACTCTGACATTCAAAAACTGAATGAAACCCTGATCTTGGATTCAACTCCAACAGCAGTAGTTGCCTCAGGAGTGTTGCGTTGGAAGAGACCCTGGAAAAATCAATTCTTGTGAGTTTGTGGGTGCAAAGAGTATGTGAGAGCACGAGAATGGTTTCTACACGTTACAATACATAAAGATCTTAGTGAGGAGTTCCTTAGATAACCGCCAACGAGACTGAAACCATTTTAATTCAGCTATTTAATCGAAACTGATCAGGACAGTCACGCTCAGCAAGAATAAGAAGTATTTTCTGCTCCCTTGGTTAGACGAGACAATCTACCAACAGAAAGAAAGAAATGAAGCACGCAAGATTAAAACAGTGGCACGAACATGTAGACGTGACCGTGTTCGCTTCTTGTCTTTAATGTATCGGTAATAAAAGGGTTAAGTTTCAATTAAAACAAAAACACTAGGTTATAGTACACTACATATATGCTTCTAATAATACGTTTGCAGTTAATTTTCAGATATTTCATCATTCAAATTAAAGTATTATATTATATTGGCTAAATGTATCAGCACTCTCACAGCAAAGTGACTGCAGTCCCTGCTTTATCGGTTAAGTTATTTGGATAACATTTCCAGAGGTAATACGGTTTATGTCCATGTAGAATTCTATACCCCTGAATTCTGCCCCCTGCTGGCCATTAGAATGATGCCACTTGCATATTTTAGACTTGAAAGCAATTTTTATCTTTCCTATACACATGTTTCCTCCCCCGATTTTGCCTATGTATAAAAATCAAAGCTACTGACTGGACAGAAACATAATACAACGGCCAAGTAATTAAAGCCAAGTCAGTTTTATTTTACTTGCGTCATACGACGACAGACGTTTCAGATGGCTTTGTTCTAAATGACATGATCGACATTGGAGTTGACAGTGATTGTTGGAGTGCTGGCAGGCGTTTTCTACTTCACACAATGCTACCGTTGAAAGCTTAAACACCGGAGCCCAGGGGACCCAGGGCTGCCTCGAGTCGAGGTCAACGAGGACCCGTTCAGATGGGTGTGCCTCCTAAAACACACATTAATCAAGAAGTATAACATCACTGCCAAGACATCTGATTGGCTGATGAAGTCGCAAAGGAAGAGAAGAGCTAAAAATAGACCTGAGAGCCCATTTTGGCTTAATGAGCCCAAGAGACATCAGGATCAGGTCCCACCCCTGCCTTCACCATGATGGGGGGAGAATAGTTAAATAGTTCTGGCATAAGCCCTGCCTTTACCAGGCTTCTGTGTGCATTTCACCAACAGCATTTAACACATGCAGAGCTTTAGATTTACATTACGCACACACAGAAACGACAGGCTGTTATTCATGCTAAAAGTAGCAATGAAGTGTAAACAAAGTTCTGAATCCCACTGAGGCCTAATCGAATCCAGCTGTGGTGGATGTGTTAAAGCTACAATTTTACCCTCACCATCAAAATGGTCCTTTAAGAATAGAAAGCTATATTTAGACTTTATACAGCAGTTGGGGCACGCTTCGAGTGGCTAGCCCTAAAACCACAAGAGAGAAGAACCAGAATCTTTCTGCTCCAACTGCCCAAGAGCCTATATCATCTTAGCCTCTCTTTCAAGCACAATAACCAGCTACGTGCATGCCAGTAAGCCAGTCAGATTTTAAAACGAA